AGTCGGGTCGATCAGGTGATGGCTCTAGGTGAGGTGATGGCTCTCGAAGTGGAGGAAGTGGAGGCTGCTCATCATTCGTGCCATCAAGAAAACGCTGACTAGCTTGCCACCAATCAGTGGCAAGCTCAGCCTCCATGGGTGTCAGTCTCATTAATGGAATGTTGGCCTCCTAAAAATATAAAAACTCAAACAAAGTTAAACGTCTAATATTAATAACTTGTTTATATATGATAGTATTTGTGTTAACTTACATTATTTATTGTCGCATATGGTATTAAGTCTTCCCAATCCAACAGACGTTTCCTCTTTCAGGAAATAGCCCTGGGAATATCATTTGAAGTTTTTATTGCATATGTCTTCATGGCGGGAAAGGCCTCGAATATCCAAATCTACAAACAATATAATAACAAACATTAGTAATTGTTAAATAATTAATTATAATTTTGAAAACATTATATAGAAATTCTTACCTTAAAGGCCCAAACAAAGCCTGACAAAGTGTATTTCGACCCATCGCCCCGCAAACTTTTGCGGTCATCAAAGGCAGACGACAACTTAGTCCAGGTAGCTTCCATATATACGAACCCCACGGAAACAGATTCCATGCATTTAGGTCCTCTACCAATAATATTAGCTCCTGAGGAATAGGTTGTCTGGCCTCTCTGCCTAAAAAGCCGGCATACAAAAGTAGAAGGCATACTCGGACAACATCGACGTCATTCATCCGAGTAAAATCATCTTTCTTATTAAACAATTTCTTCATGTCGTCGACGTGTAAGTTCGGCTTCTCTATGACTCATCAGGAAAAACCCTGGATAACCATGATGGGCGGGTGATATGACGAGTGTACCGGCCTACATCATCGTGTCCGAATCGTAGACCAGTGATTAAGCAGAACTCCTTCCGCCCAAAACAAGTATACGCCGGTGGAAAATGAAACCATATCTCTTCCTCACCACGTTGTATACTGTCGGGTAGATCGCTAGTCATGGTCTGAAGCCACAAATGGGTCAAACTAGCATCTCCACCCGGATGCTGTACTCTCAGCCATGGCCCGAAGCATGTTTCTTCAAACAATTTTCTTTGTGCAGGTGAAAGCTTCGAAGCAATTGTAGTGGCTAGGCTAACTTTATTCCTTAATGTCAATGAAGCCGAAAAAAATTTCTACAAAAAAACAATAAACATACCAAGTTAGATATACCAAAATTACACTGTCAAGATATATCAAAACAAAACAATAAACATAAATAGTAGTTTATTCTTGAAACTAAAATTTGCAACACTGTTTTTGTCTTTTGGTTGAAATGAAAATCGCAAAGAGATAATGAGAATCGCAACGCGGAAATGACTATCGCAACGAGAGAATCGCAACGCGAAATGAAAATCGCAACCGCGAAATAAAAATCGCAACGCGAAATAAAAATCGCAATGCGATTTTTGTTTCGCGTTGCGTTTTTTATTTCGCGTTGCGATTATCTCGTTGCGATAGTTATTTCCGCGTTGCGATTTTCATTCTCGAAACTATTCTTCTTCTGCATTACTTCAACCAAAAGACAAAGCAAAGACAAATACTAACTTCACAGGCTAAACAGTTTAGCAGTATTGGCAGCAATCGAATGAATTTAATAAGAAATCTAAGTGAAATGGTTAATCTATTATTGAAATTACCAGTAAACTTATCATCAATCTCAATATGAAAAACCTAAAATAATGCAAAAATTTCAAAATAAAAATAAAAAAACTAACCCTCGGAGGTTGATTTTCCATTTCTGAATGATTGTGAGGGATTTTTGACTGTGAATGGTTGTGAGGGATTTCGCCGGCGATGGGGACGGAAATCTTCGGAGATGGGGACGGATTTCGCCGTAGAGAGTGAGAGATGGAGATGGGACTGAGTGTTGTGTTTTTGGGTTTGAGGTTATGAGTTGCGATTACTGTGGACGGTTCAGTTTCCGATTTATTAAGAAAAAATTCGTGTTTGGAATTTGAAAAAAAAATACGCGTTAATACGAATGGCGCTATGTAAATCGCGTTGCGAAAGTCAGAATCGCGTTGCGATTTTGTATTATCGCATTGCGATAGTAAGTATCGCATTGCGATAGTCAGTATCGCATTGCGATTTACTTATTCGCATTGCGAATTGGGAAAATCGCAACGACATTGTATACCATCGCAACGCGATTTCCAACTATCGCAACGCGAAATGCAACGCGAATTTGCGATAATGGAGATCGCGTTGCGAATTAGCGATCGCATTGCGATTTTGTTGGTCATTTTGGCAAATCCGGAAAAAGTTGGTTAAAATCGTATATTATATGGGATTTTTGGTCACTGAGGTTATTTTCTCTATAAAATATTGTCAACCATATATTAAATAGAGAAAATAACCTCAGTGACCAAAAATGCCTTATAATATACGATTTTAACCAACTTTTTTTGGATTTATTAAAATGACCAACTAAATCGCAATACGATCGATAATTCGCAACGCGATCTCCGGTATCGCAAATCAGTTTCCAGATTCGCAACGCGAACATCGACTATCGCAACGCGATTTTCCAAATTCGTTGCGATAGTCCAAGTTCACGTTACGATAGTCGAAGTTCGCGTTGCGATTTATTCCAAGTTCGTTGCGATGCGATTTATTCCAAGTTCGTTGCGATAGTCGAAGTTCGCGTTGCGATTTATTCCAAATTCATTGCGATAGTCCAAAATCGCAACGACTGGTGGTATTGCATTTGTTTCTTAAGAATTTTCTCTAAAAAGATAGTATTCGTGCGGACGTGTCGAAGACACGTATTACCACGACCACGACCACGACACGTGTTTCCATACTATGTGGGATTGAGCATTACCAACACTTGTTCCCAATACTATGTGGGATTGAGCCTTAAATAGTGATATTATTGTTGACGAAAACGGGTAAAGAAAACAAAAGAACACGAGAATTTTATGAGGTTTGGAAATGTGCTTACGTCTTCGGTGCCTAGGCGGCGCTAGAAGTTTTATTCAATGATATTTTAGGTCTAGGTTACATCTCTATTTATAATAGAAAACCCTGGTACATAATTACAAAATCAACTCTGTACCGTACCGCGGGGGCGCAACCCCCGCACCCCCAACCCACATAATTCGTAACCCCACAATGAGACTTTCTTTGTAAGGACAGTTAATGTTCGCTTCGCTCACTCCGCTCCATCTCCTGTCCTCTTTACTGGTATATTTATGAGTCATACCTAACAATTATTTGTGAATTATAGTTAATGACTTTAGTATTTGTATGAAAAGTATTTGTGGTTCGTTTAGTTTTCATGCAATTCTAATTTATTTTCAATTGATTGTAATTGCACGATAACAATTTTTTTATTCTCGCGAGTGATGCAATTTTTTTGAATGTTTTACTTAAAATTGCAATAATCGCGATTGATTGTAGATTGACTTTTAATTATGACATATTTAATCGTATAATACTAATGCAATTGGTTGATGATTCAGTTGTTTTAAGGTGCATGATTTTTAATTGTTTCCTGAATAATCACATAGTATTGGAAACAAGTGTTGGTAATGCTCAATCCCACATAGTGTTGGAAACACTATTGGGAATGATATTTAAGGCTTGGCTTTCCCACTTCCTTGTTGAGTGATAGAGAACAAGGGGGACTCTCGCGCGCCGTCTCGTCTCGTGGTCGTGGTCGTGGTAATACGTGTCTTCGACACGTCCGCACGAATATTATCTTTTTAGGGAAAATTCTTAAGAAACAAATGCAATACCACCAGTCGTTGCGATTTTGGACACTTCGACTATCGCAACGAATTTGGAATAAATCGCAACGCGAACTTCAACTACCGCAACGAACTTGGAATAAATCGCAACGCGAACTTGGACTATCGCAACGAATTTGGAAAATCGCAACGCGAACTTCGACTATCGCAACGCGAACTTGGACTATCGCAATGCGAATATGTAAATCGCAAAGCGATAGTCGAAGTTCGCGTTGCAAATATGGAAACTGATTTGCGATACCGGAGATCGCGTTGCGAATTATCGATCGCATTGCGATTTAGTTGGTCATTTTGGCAAATCCAAAAAAAATTGGTTAAAATCGTATATTATAAGGAATTTTTGGTCACTGAGGTTATTTTCTCTATTAAATATTCAATTTAGTTGAGTGGTTAAATGCACTCACAATCCCTTAAGTCCTAGGTTTAAGTCCCCCTCTTATCTTTATTTTCTTGATTTTTAACCAATAAGATATAGGTGAACCTACATACAAGTGCATAAATTGATAGTTTGTATAATTAATAAATATTGACTATATTAATATATAAATTTACTTAAGTATGACATTAGCAATTTCACTAGTAATTAACTACCAGTGACTTGATCGAAATCAAGTTGAAAATTTAATAACTTAATTCGTACAATTTTTAGTTTAATAGTCAAAACAGAATAGACCCAATGGTTCAATGTCCTTGGCGAGTTGGCGTAGCTTGCCCAAATTAAGTTTAAAAATAGGGGGGAGTCTACTTAAAAATAATGTCAGCCATTGACTCAAATTTTAGGACCTAAGCTTAGTTCGGCATGTTTTTCAATCTTGTAGAGATATTAATTTCCTTATTTTTATATAAATTATATCATATCAAAAGCACATACGGTGGAAATTAACATGATAAAATATTTTATCCAAAAAATTCATTTTCTTGGGTTTGAAAATTAATATTTTAATCTCAAATTCATTCCAACTTAACCCACGAATACCTTTATTCTTGTACGAATTCATTCCAACTTAACTCACGAATATCTTTATTTTTACAAAGTATTGTCTGCTCAAAGTTTCTTTAGTTAATTGATAGCGATAACGATCATAAAAACCTTTCGAATCGAGACTTTTAGAAAGAAAACATCCCTTTATCGTTGATGTTAATCGATAGGTTCACGAACACCTCTATTTAAAGTTGTTTTATTGCCAAAATTAACTAAAAATGTTTCATTTAGAAGATAAAAGAAATCAGGTTTGAGTTCAATTGCAACAGATTAGTTACAAAACAGAAACATACTGTGTAAAAATGCCCAACAACAATAGTTAATAGTTTGACATCCTTGTGCCTGTAAATTCACTAAAAGGTATAACTATACTTGCAACACAATGAAGTCATATAAACTATAAATTGAGATCAATGTTTCTTGATGTTTCTTTCGATGATTCACCTTCCTCGTAATCCGCCGCCTTGTTTCCGCCACGTTTAGGCGGAGGAGGCGAGACTCGGTTGTTGTTCAATTGGTACGGTGCTCTGGCAGCTGCCCTGGAAAAACGAAGCCATTGATGACACTGTTAGTGAGATATTATCATTCAACATTGAAGTACCACAACAAAAGGGTCTTGAGCAACTCTGTACCTGTCTTTCCTCTTCTCAAAGAACTTGTGAAGCGAATTCCTTCTTGCGATTCGCAAGTCCGAACCGCCATACTGATGTCGCTCAACCGAAGGGTCTTGAGCCAGAGTATTTGCAGTTCCGGAGGCAATGTTCAAGTCAGGGATATCGGAATTGTTATCGGTTTTATTGATCTTATGGCTCGGTTTTTCCATGGCAGAGACGGCAACATTGACACCGCTACATGCTGTTGAGCTTCCTTGGTTAGCTAAGGTCATGATTTCCTTCACCTTGTCTGCTGGGAAATCATTATATACAAATACTTGGCCATTGAAAAACATGGTCAGCTGAGCATTCTTTGGTTCCACTGCTACTAGTTTCCTACACCAACAAGAACAAAACATTCTTGGTTCATACATGTTTCACCGCATCAATTACAATCATTGCATAGATGGACCGACCGAGGGAGCCATGGTGCTCTAAAAATTTTAAATTATTCTATACTTTTTTTATTTTCTCTGTATTTTTTATTAATGATCTGTTTTCATCTATTAAAACTTTATAAGTTGGCCTCCTTGAATATATCAGACAAAACTTAAACACACCTGAGATCTGTCTTGTCAATGGCGTCTTCTTTGGAAGAGGAGGAGCCAAAGGGGATGAAATCTGAAGATTTCACATTTGATGTAGATGCCACAAGATTTGGTCTTGAACTCTCAGAAGAATTAGCCACGTGGGACAAAAAGTTGATCGTTTTTGCTTGTTGCCCTGCAAACAAAAATCATCCCTCTTTCCAAATCTGAGAAAACTTTCTTTCCAAAAACACCCACATGAAAAAAGGGGGGGGAAACTTTGACAAATCAGACAAACCATGAACACAAAAGCTAAAAAGGGTACCTTTAGCATCAGGTTTTGAAGAGATTCCAACGCTGAAATCCCCAAGATTCCTTTTTTCTTTCAAGTACTGGCTCAGAAGATTGACAAAGCTTGCTCTTTCATGAGATTTCTGCCCTAAATTCGACATCTTTCTCTCTGGTTTCTTCTTCTTCTTCTTCTTCTTCTTCTTCTTCTTCTATTTTCTGAAAATCACCCTCCAATATTAAAAGAAAACCCTACTGAAACATCAAAGATTCAGGGTGTTTTGCATATGTTTTTTGCCACTTTGAGGGAAGAATTGGAGGATCCTAAAAAGGGGAAGACGTGAAGAAATACAAAGTGGGGGAAAGCGAGTTACCAGAAATGTCTCTCACACCATGTTCTTTGAACCTGATTAGCTGTGAGTTGTCTTGGTTTCTTTATCATCTCATTTCTTGAAATAAATTTATTTATTTTATTTAAAGCACGTTTTTTTCGATGAACAAAACAAGGTTGAAGAAAGATAAAGTAATAGAATAATTAGGAGAACAAAACAAGTTGGATGGAGATAGGGGTTTCCTTGCAATTGCCAACCTCACTTATTTCCATGGCTGCCCTTCAACAGTATTTTTTCTATAAAAAAATATTTTTTTGAGTGGACTAAGATTTTTGGTTCTCATATTTTTCTCAAAATATGTGCAAACCATCTCGGCAAATTCCTTCAAAACCTATTAGTTTTTAAAAAATAATTTTATATCTAAATTCTAATATTTTTTTTAGATTTTTTAGAAATCAATTTGGAATACAATTTCTATTATAAAATTTGTGTTTTACGGCTTTTTTTTTCGAAAAATCACTTTTTTCGTTTAATATTTTCGATCAGATACCGTTCAGATTATATTTCTCGATCTAACATCCTTTGCAGAAAGGTACGCCCCCTACAGCGCGTTTAACGCTGATTTGACGTCACGTGAGATAATGTGCGCCCCGTGAGGTGCACCTGATGATGACATGGGATACACGTGTGTATAGCGCGGCCCCTGGGGCGTACCTTAGGCCACGTAGAGTATAGCGTGGGACAGGGATCGCGTCTTACCTGTGAATCTACCACACGTCAGTAACGCACGCCGCAGGATATTTGGCGGGTTCAGCCTCATCACTATGGCTGCAGCACAGACACCTCCTGTACAATTTTCACACTCAGCAATGTCTGGGTTTTATGAGTTTTCTCAGTTTTCGCAAGCCGGTGGAATAGTCAGTCATACACCTCGAGGGTCATTATTCTATGGAGGTGCTTCATCGTCATCGGCTCCTCATAAAAAAATGTAGTTGCTCAAGACGACGACGACGATGGCGATGATGATGACAGCGAGGAGTCACAACCAGTGATACGAAGAAATCCTCATCGAGACCGAAAGCCACCGCCCTACAGAACACATTCGCGTCGCAGGCATCGATAGGTTTTGTTTTTTTATTATATTTGTATTTAGTACTTTTTTATTGTAGTTGTTTATTGGACTTTTTTATTGTAATTTTTTTTATTATTTATCATTTAATACTTATTTTAATTCGTCAATATGGTTGAATTGATTTTAATTTATTTTGTTAAATTTGTTGGACTTTTTGTTAATTTATTTTGCTTAATTTTGTTTAGTACCATTTAATATAAGTTATTGTAATTTGGTTATCATTTATCATTTAATACTTATTGTATCGTTAATATCAATTATTCGTTAATATAACGTCAACGTTCAATCTCGTATAATTATATCATTTTTTTAATCTTCGTCAGCGGTTATCGAATAACATTAACTTGAAGTAAATGCAAATTAAAGTACATGAATTATTATTTGATAAACAACTACATCATTTCTTCATCAATTGTTACTTGATGACAACAGAAGTGGACATGTTTTTCTAGTGTGTCATTGGTTTCTACAATGCCCACATCTTATGGCTTATCTAGAGTTTTCTCGACTATCCATATCGCAATGAATTTGATTGAATTTTGGACGACCACGCTCCCTCAATAAACTCGGATTTGGTACAATCGGAAGCCAATCTTGAATCTCATCAGGGTCTTTGCCATTACCTATGGGGGAAACTCAAATTCGTATACCTTGAAAACTTCAGATAGTAGGTATACGAGATCCACAAAATGGTTATAGTCTTGACATGTATGCGAGCAAGCTGCTATCACATGAGATCATGGATACTTCAGAGCTTGAAAAAACCCGCAGTCGCACGTTCTGTCCCTTAGATTTACTCTTAACGACACAGCTTCAATCCCTTGAAGAGGTAGCGATAACTCTGTGACACAAAACATTTAATGCCTTCTAGAGAAGCTTGTTACAGACATTCCATTTGATGCATAAATTTTTTTCTGTAGATCTATAACTAATCTAGGGTGATAGACATGATCGACTTGCATTCAGGTTTGAGCTTGTCCCCCGAGCTTTGCAAAAAGCTCCCCCAAACGAAAATATATAGTCTTTTCCAAAGCCGCTACTGGTAAGTGACGTTCACGCTTTAAGGTTGAATTTATTGCCTCTGCCAAGTTGGTCGTCATGTGTCCATATCGATATCCACCATCATATGCATTCGTTCACATTTCTTTATCGATGAGGCTGATGTAATTGTATCATTCCTCGTTCTTCGCCCGTAAATCTTGAAGCATTGATTCAAACATTCGAGGAAATAGTTCGAAACATGATAAACAAATGTATAACTTATTAACTTGCTTTCTTTGCAAAATTAAAAGGATCGAAAGAAAACAAACTACATCAGTTTCACTTACTCATTCGCACAATTAATTGACGCTCATCATTCTTCTTGTACCTTATATGGCAGTTCGTAGCAATGTGTCGGAGACAATACCTATGTTGGAAAAAGGGTGGTTCTACATTGGACCCAAAGACTCCATTGTTGCTTTGATCCCAGCTTCGCGATATGAAATGACACAGTTGTTTTCCCTCGTGATAACATGTGCACGTAAATTTTGGAGGAAAAAACCTAAGAATCTGTATCTTCTCCTTTGATAAGAGCAAAAGCAACTGGAAGAATGTTGTGATTGCTATCTTGGACAACTGTCAATAATAAAACTTGTTTGTATTTTCCATACAAGAAAGTCCCATCGATCTGGACTACAGGTGTAACATCCCAAACTATGGGTTAGTGACTAAATGGTAAAGTTTCATAAATTTGGTGATTAAAGTAGAAGAACGGATTAGTTCAATGATTTATCTAGAAATAAATCCTAAAACTTGTTAGTAATTATCAAATGAAATAGAGGGCAAAATGGTCATTTGACTAATAAATGAATTAAAAATAGATATGATAAGGATATATATGTTAGAGGGGATAAGGATGAAGAGATATTCTCTTCATCATCATCTTCTTCTTCTTCTTCATGTACGAGAGAGAGAAGAGCCAAGCTTGCAAAGGTAAGATTCCTTATTAGCTGATTATTTGTTAATTTTAAGAGTGGGTTTTGATCATTAGGTAATACTTAAGCTTATGGAAAGCTTAAGTTGTTCTAAAATCAAAAGATAAAGAAGTTATGAAAGATTAAAGAAAATGAGTTTTTAAAGGAAATTCTGGAAAAGAGTTAGTAAGTGAATTTTGAGAAGGAATTTGACTTGTCATCAATCTAATTAAGGAATATAGAGTGTTAGAATTAGATTTAAAACATGTTAAAAATCTGGTATGATTCTTGAAGTTAATAAAGATGAGAGAATATTAAGGTTTAAGATTAAATAAATGAGTATATATTGGTTTAAGTATGCGTACTAGAGTTAAGAATGAAAAAGGGGATGAAACATGAATGATTTAATCCAAAATGAATGAATTTTCGGGTTCAAAAAGAGATTCTGGGCAGAGTACATCGATGCACATTCATAGTGCATCGATGCATCAAGGTTAAAACCCATAAATCGTTTGAAGGTGTATCGATGCACAGGAAGTGCATCGATGCACTCTTTTAAAATAAATACATCGAAAGCAATTCGTGTATCGATGCATAAGTAGTGCATCGATGCATCCCAATAATAATACAACATCGAATGCATTTTATGCACCGATGCATCAGTAGTGCATCGATGCATACCTTCATTAAAAGATGAAATTGCCTTTTCTCTTAGTCTAAAGAGTGAACCGTTAGAGTATATTAGTTATAATACTAATATAGATCTATGTATGATGATGTAGATATAGAACGTGATCCCGTTCCGGATCAATTGAAGGATTATAATCGAATCAAAGCAAAGCTAAGGTGAGTGCAATTTAATTTGTACTTATATTATTGAATAAACATTTGGCTTGCGATGAGCCAGTGATGGAGTTACTATGGTAAGAAGTAACTCCTAAAATGTTATTTGATTGGTGATCAATGTTATGATTTGTGTGATTATGAGCTTATATGAATATGTGATATGAATAAAGTTATAAGAAATGATTTATGTGAATACATGCATTTGTGATGCGTGTTATATGATATTAGATATATGTTTACACATACATATGGTATGTGACCGAAGAGAATGAACATGTGATTATAAGATCAATGATTACACGTACATTTGGTGCGTGACTGAAAAGAAAAGATATATGTTCATAAGAGAAAGGATATGAATAAGTAAATTGAACTGTTATGAATGTTAATGCCCATGTTATGTGATAAGAGAGCTAGTGGTATAGTTGGCATGCCAAGGGTCGAGGGTTTACCTATGTTCTTCGAGACATATGGACCGTTTACCTATGTTTTTCGGGACATATGGACTGTTTACCTATGTTCTTCGGGACATGGGCTAATGCAAGGGCTTTAAAGATAATAAATAACTTGTTATGATACTATATATATGCTTTGTTGTGAAATGACATGGATACTCGATGGTGAGTATAGAAAGGTTCAATATATGCTTACATGATAGAAAGAAATTAGTAATAATGATATGAGTACTGATAAGTATATTAATGATATATGTATAAGTATGAATTATGTTATATGAAATGGTTTGTGGTTTTATTATATGTTTTATATGCCTCACTAAGTCAACGACTTAGCGTGTAAGTGATTTACACGTAGGTATGGAGAGGAGTAAAGAGAGATGTAGAGTAAGACAGGTCAGTTCTCCTTACTCAATGTCAGATCAGAAAAGAGGTGATTAATATGTACTTTAATATATAAAGTTCTAGTTGGCATGTATTCAAAAGAATATATTGTATAAACTCTGAATAGTTTTGTAAACGTTTTGAATAAGTTGAATGTTATAAAAGTTTTTAAATTACTCAATATTTTATACGAATAAATGTTTGAAAAGTCAATGTGACACTTCGGACTCATATCCGGGTCGGATAC